ACTGGGCTGTCACACTCCTTCCACAACTAGCACGTGAGCTCCTTAAATGGCAGGAGCCCCCAGAAATTTCTCCCCTCTAGGTCCAATACCTGCACTGTTTGTTTTTACAATTTCAACAACCCCACAATGCCCCAGAGACAACAGACTATTTTAGCTTATGCGAAGAAACCAGAGAGAATGGCTCAAACAAATGATCAAGATGCAGAGCCTCAAAACAATTCCAAGGAAGAAAAGGTAATGGAAGGAACTGAGAATATCCAAAAGAATGATAATTAGGTACCTTCAAAGGATCCACAGAAAGATCAAGGAAAGCAAGGAAGACACAATAAAAACTTTAAGAGTTCAGGAAAACACTCAAGAACTAACAGACAAAAGAAATGCAAATTTTGAAACAAAACCTGCAATTAGAAATCCCGAAGATTAATCCTAAGAATTCAGAAGTATTATTTGTTTCCGAGTTGGTTTAGACTCATAGTGGCCCTCTATCGGGTTCCAAGGCTATAAATCTTAATGGGAACAGAAAGTCTAATCTTTCTCCAATGGGGCAGCTGGTAGATTTGAACTGCTTACCTTGCAATAAGCAGCACATGTAACCCACTATGCCACCAAGGCTCCCTTCAATTGCCTCATAATGTATGCAAAAACCGATGAGTAAGGAGACTGGAGAATAGTGATGCATTGGAATTATGGTGCTGGTGAAAATACTATGGACTGCCAGAAGAAAGCAAATTCTGTGTGTTAGAAGAAGCACAGCCAGAACACTCCGTAGAAGCAGGGGTCAGACTTTGTCTCATGCACTCTAGTCATGGTACCAGGAGGGGCCATGCCTGGAGAAGGACATCATGTTTGGTAAAGCATAGGGTAAGGGAAAAAGAAGACCCCAAATGAGATGGATTGATACAGTGGCACCAACAATGGAATCAAACACAACGACAATTGTAAGGATGTTTCATTCTGTTGTACATAGAATCACTGAGTCGGAATTGGTTCAATGGCACATTATAATAAACAACACAGCACAGCTTCAAAATTATGACTCGGTCTTGGTTAAAACTGTAATTAAATAGGTCACAAGCTACTATAAAATTTACTTGGTAGGAAGTTTATTGATACAAGTGTTTCTGCAAACACAAAGCCCTGGGCGCATTGTTACTTTAACAATGCGAGAAAAATCTAAGAGTATTTACAAATAAGTGACCATAAAGGCATTTAAAAAAAAAAAACCCCAAAGTATCCCCTCCACCAAAAAAAAAAAAAAAAAAAAATCAATCAATGAATAATGAATGAGCACTAACCAGGGAAAATAAAGATCTTGTTTAGACTAATTCTTTCTTTTTTTTGCAAATTATTTCTTGATTCTGTATCTTGTCTCCATGAATTGAGTTTCTGGTAGGTCTGTTTGCCGTGATAATTTGCTTTTTAAATGGAATATTGTAGCATTCCCACTAAGTCCGTTGTTTCATGTTTACCGTGAGAAGATGTATTTACTCACTATGTATTTGTACAGAAAACTGTATTTGTTAGAATGTTTGCTTTATGAATTGGGTTTCCTCATCCAGGTTGTAATAATGATCATGGTATGTGGTTAAGCCATCACCTTTGACCTCATTGACTTCAAGTGTAACTCTTATCACTTCATTGCATTAAGGTTTGACCCTTTTTTCCTACAGACTTGACAAAAGCCATACACAGCACAAAGGAGGTTTCATTTGTCTACAATCACGAACATTTATTGAGCAGCTAACTACTAAATGCCAGGCACTGTGCTAAGCACTTCCCATACATCCTCATTCAATCCTCACAACAGCCCTGTGAGGTAGGTATGATTGTTGGTGTTATTATTATTAGGTGCCCGAGACTCGTAGCAACTCCAATGGACAGAGGAAAACTGACTCCTACGGTTTTCTTGGCTTAAAGTTTCAGGAAGGAGTCCTGGTAACAATGTAGGCTAAGCACTGGACGGCTATCCTCCAGGTGACTATGAGTCAGAACTGACTTGATGGCACTGAATAACAATCTCCACGGAAGATCATTAACCTTTTTCTCAGGGAACCACTGGGTGTGTTGGAAGCACCCATCTGCTCTTGTGTTGTTAAGTTGTTAAGTGCC